CCGATCCTCGATCAGTTTGTGGCGGCGGCACAAGGCGAGGCGGACGTAGCGTTCTGGGACCGCATCTGCAGCCACGAAGGCGGCGGCTCGGGTCCAAGCTACCTCAACGGCTGGATCAGCGTCTTTTGCGTCTTCAACGACAAAGGCCAATGGCAAGGCGACAAGATGACCGACACAGTGCTGCTGCGAAAGCCCGAGGCCAATCCGGATGATTGGTTTGATGCTGTTGAGACCGAAGTTACGTACGACTACCCACTCATCGACATGCAAGACATTCCACCCAGGTACCTCACCGTCGACGTGACGATCGACGACAACGGGACCGAGTACAAGGCGCTCATGTTTGCGGGGCACATGGCCTACAGCATTGGTGACAACAAGGCGTCGATCGCGCCATCGCTGAGCTGGGCGATCGCGCTCAAGAACGGCGAGCCGGCACCGCCAGACGAGATGGAACTCTTCTTTGCACGACGCTCTTCTGAACGCGCGAAGAGCAGTGCGAGCACGCCAGTCGGTTGGTTCTGTACAGTGTGGTCGACGCTGGTGCAGCGTTGGTCGACCAGCTTTGGCTGACTGTACACTGAGCATCGAAAGCCTCTACTTGCCTCAATTTCGGCCTCGCCATATCCGGATCATTTGGCTGTTGTGTCGAGCTTTGGCCACCGACAGAGGCGGACCGTGTGAAGCCGTGGGTTGAAGTTGCTGCAAGCTATGGTCGGGCTAAAGTTGCGTGCGTTTAGTCCCTCGATGCTTGTTGCAATGCAGTTTGAGAGGTTTTTCGAAAATCCACGCAAATCTTTGCGTCGACACCAAAGGTCAACATGGACGCGAGCACGGTGGTCATGGACGCAAGCATGGTGGGCATGGATGGTAGTACGCCGACGATGCCGTCGCCGGGCATGGACGACGCGCCGATAAGCCCGGTCGCGCAGGCCAACGATGACCCGGCCGTCGAGCCCATCACGAAGGAAGACGAGCCGCGCGTCGTCGAGCCCGAGCGCTTCGAGATTGAGACGTTCACGCCCTTCTCGTCGTGCCACCTCTGGCGGCTCATGAGCTCCTTCTACGAGCGCCAAGGCGTCGAGTCGTGGGCGCAGGGCATCGTGCCGCACTTTATCACGTCCAACACGTTCATCGCCAAGCGGTACGCTTCATCATCTCTCGATGTTGGCTCCTACAGCGCATGTAGCTACGTCCAGGTCTTTCTTGCCTACCTGCGCGACGCGACGTCGGCCTTGGACCCGACACAGCCGCTGTACCTCGTCGAGCTTGGCACGGGCAGCGGCAAGTTCAGCTTCTACTTTGTCCAATGGCTCCACGAGATGGAGGCGATTCTGCCGTTCCCGCTCAAGCAGATCCGGTACATCATGACGGACTTTACGGACGCGAACCTCAAGTTCTGGACGACACACCCGGCGCTCGCGCCGTACGTTGCGTCCGGCCTCCTCGATTTCGCCATATTTGACGCGACCGCCGACACGTCGCTGCACTTGCTGTCGGCCAAGACGACGATCGCCGCGGCGACGCTCGCGAACCCCATGTGCGTCGTCGCCAACTACCTCTTTGACACGCTGCACCACGAACTCTTTCGCGTACGAACGTCGTCCAAGCCGTTGCATGGACCATACGAGCTCGTGTAGGTCGAGAACGGCATCCTCAAGCAAGGCTTGATCAGCGTCGGGTCGTCGCACGCTCACGAACCTGGTACGCGCGCACTCGAAAGCGTCTAGGCTTCTCACGGCGAGCGTAGACATTCTTGACCCCGAAATCATCAAGCGGCTCGCCAACCGGTTCCAGTACGACGCGATCACGGCGGCGTATTATGGCGACCAATGTCACTTGAACGCCGTCTTGGAGTGGTACCACGACTACTACGGCGCGTCACCGGCCACGTTCCTCGTGCCCATTGGCGCGCTGCAGGCCATCGAGCGGCTCAAAGCGCTCACGCGCAACCAGCTGCTCATTCTCTCGGGCGACAAGGGCCACACGAACCCCGACCACTTTCGCGGTCTCCAAGACCCGCACATTGCGGTTCACGGGTCCTTCTCCGTCATGTACGTCGTTGTTGTTCATTTTCGTTCATTTTGTGCGTTTTTGCTCATTTTTTATCATTTGTGACCAATTTGTACATATTTTGCTAGTTTTTTGCTCATTTTTTGTACATTTTTGTTCAATGTTGCTCATTTTGGAGAGGTGAATCGACTCCATTCGATGCTGTAGGGTCAACTACCATGCGATTGGCGTCTACGTGGCGAGCCGTGGCGGCTTTGCCCTCCACAACCCGCAAGAGGAGGCGAGTTTGAAGGTGTCGCTATTTGTGCTCCCAGCCACCGATGCACCGTTTACGAACGACACGAGTGCGGTCGCCCTCGACGAGCGCTGCATGGAGCGCGCACGGCAGTACCCGCACGCGGCCCACACCTTTGACGACGGGCTCGTGAGCTTTGGTCCCAACGACTTTTTCATGATGCAGAAATGCCTCAAGGTCCACATACGATCTTATTGCGGTTGGGTTGCGACGAAACGTGTATAGGAAGACGCCAAGCCGCCGAGCCTCAAAGGCGTGCTCGCGCTCCTCAAGCTCAGCTTTTACGACGCTGATTTGCTCTACAAGTTTCGGGACGTCCTCTTGGATCAATCGCCGACCGCACCGCCCAAGGTCAAGGTCGACGTGCGTCATTGCCTCGCGCAGACATGGAAGCACTACTACCAGCTCGACAAGGACAAGGTCTGTTTTTCTCCAAACGAATTGTTGAGATTGAGAGTCGCATGTAGGACATTGCGTTTGAGATTGGCCGCGTCTTTTATGGCATGCGCGAGTACTATGACGCGCTCACGTACTACACGGCGTCGCTCGATGAAATGGGCAAGCACCACGTGACGTACCACAACATGGGCCTCTGCTACTACAGCACACAGCGGTACGTCGCATCGAGTCTTGTGGCTTCGACTAACTCGGCATTCGAGTAGACTCGACGAAGCAAGCACGTGCTTCCTCGCCGCGACCGAGCTCAACGCGTGCTACACGAAAGCGCAGACGTGGCTCCAGCGCGTGCAAACCGAGCTTCTCGGTGGCAAAATCGAGGCCGACCCCAAGGCCGTCGCCTTGCAGGCGGTTGACATCCGCGTAGTGGAGGAGACGCCCGTCATGGATGGCCGTGTAGCTCCTGCCGTCGTCGCACCGACCAACTAGGAAAATGCCGTTCAAGGTGGCGACCTCTAGGACTCTGCACAGATCAATATAAAACTCTATCCCGTGTTGGACTATGGCGCGTTGATGTGTCTATATGACAAAGTAGTTGGAGAGGCAGAAGAGCTCCCAGCGCGGCTGCGACGCCTTCGGACCCTTAGGCTTCTCCGGCTCCATAATGTAGCTGAGGAGGCTAAAGCACGTGAGGAGCAGGAGGCCCCAGAAGAACTCTTGCGTGTGGTCCACGAGGAGGGCGACACCCCATGCGAAGGTCGTCTCGAGCGCCGAGCGCACGCTCTCGGTGCTGATGCGCAGCGCCACATGCATGATGATGTACTTGCTCCGCGATTGAATGCACTTCTGTCGACAGTCGTTGCAAGCCAGCCGCCGTTCGACGTCACATGCGGTCCGAGGTCGTGATGGGCGTACTTGGTAGTCACGGCGGCTGGGATGAGGCGTTGAGCTCGTCTCGCGACCCACTCTGTCGGAGCATCAAGTTGCGATCCTGGTGGGCGTGAGTGATCCCGAACCAGGATATCGTCCGTGGATACCAAGTGCGCTATCGTGTGACCATTTCTACATCTATCTACCAGAATAACTAGTTGGATCACAGCAGTTGTCGGTCGACGAGCGGCGCCGGCGACAGAAGCATGCTCGGTTCACTCGAAGGGCGATCGTACTTCCGCGGTGAGCACTCCCGACCACCAACGCCCAACTGCATGTTCGTAGGACATGGCGAGTCATTTCCACTTGGTCGACGGAATGCTGTCGCTCGAAGCGGTGACATTCACGACAATGCGACGCCAACGACCTCCGCCTCCACAAATTCTGAGACTCTGGTGTTTTAGTGGGTGGCCAACAAGGGTTAGGGATACGGTTATCGACTGTCGTCGCTCGTCGCTGGGTTCCTGCTGAGTGATCCGCGACGCTAGTGGTCGTGGACGTGTTAAACTCAGATCCGAGCTCCTTTCCTTACGCGAATGTGCGCGTGTGATTGGCCAGCACTGTCGCGGGTCGCACCCTACCCCTACCATCTGGCATTTGTCTTGGTGTTTGTATGCGACCGGACAAGCCTCAACCCCGCCGCACCACATCTGAGTCGCGATATCAGATATCGCGAAAGCAGGATGCACCGTGGACACTCACATTACTTGTACTATAGTCGTCGAAAAAGTTATCGTACGAAGTTCATGTTGCGTTGGTAGTGAGCGACAGAAGACGAGGGCGGTCCAGCGGAGTCGAAGCCCGCGCTATTGGGCATTCTTGGGTGGGTACACGCGGCTGGTAGCAATGACTTTACATTATTCCATCGATGCAGCCGTCGCCTGTCGCGCGCATCTGAGTTGAGGACTCTGAGTTGGCGATGGCTTTGGCGACAGTACTTCTACCAGTGGTAGTGCAGCCCTCCAGAATCGAGTTACCAGATCTATCGGATGGCGCCGACGCGGTCCGTCCATGTTCGGCCGTAGCTTTGGCAACGCCGCGTGTTGTCCCATTGTCAGACAGGCCACTGCCGTGCTCAGACGAACACAAGAATCTGAGTTGAGGTATCTGAGATTGCACCAGTCGGCTACAGTGCGCCTTGAAAACGACCACGACGGAATCCCTCTCCGCATCCATGAGCGCACGGCCGGTCCCGTCGTCGTCTGAGTCGAGGATCGGTACGACTATCGTCCCACGGACCGTCGTCGCCGGTGTTTTCGACTCGCTCTCGCCACCTCACTTTCCATCTTGACTGCCACCACCACCACCATGATCAAGACCGCCATCATCGCCGCCGTCGCTGCCACCGCCGTCCTCGCCGAGGAAGGCCGCGTCGACTACTTCGCCCCCGGCCCCGTCGACCACAACGACGCGATTGAAATCGTCGGTGGTGTCGAGGCCGAGGTCGGCAAGCACCTCTACGTCACGGGTCTCCGCCGCACGCCGGAAGGCAAGGCCAGCTGCGGTGCGTCGCTCATCGCGCCCACCGTTGTCCTCACGGCCGCGCACTGCGCCGTCGGCAACTGGGCCACCAACGCCTCGATCGGCTCGCACTTCCTCTCGGGCTCCAAGGACGGCGAGCGCATCGCGATCACCAAGATCATCCCGCACCCCAAGTACGACTCGAAGCAGATGACCAACGACTTTGCCATCATGCTCCTCGCGTCGCCCTCCAAGGTGACGCCCGTCGAGGTGTACTTCGGCAACGACGCCATCAACGCGCCGGGCGTCAACTCGACGGCCCGCGGCTGGGGCACCGTCAAGAGCGGCGGCCAGCAGTCGGACGTGCTCAAGGAGGTCGTCCTCAAGATCTGGGGCAACAAGGAGTGCAACACGGCGATCCAGAGCGGCGGCTCGGGCTACCCGCAGATCACGGCCACCAACATTTGCGCCGGTGGCCTCTTGGGCGAGGACACGTGCCAGGGCGACTCGGGTGGCCCGCTCACGGTCAAGAAGAACGGCGTCGACGTGCTTGTCGGCCTCACGAGCTGGGGCATTGGCTGCGCCCAGGCCGGCCTCCCGGGCATTTACGCCCGCGTCTCGGAAGCCAAGGACTTCATCGAGCCGTACCTCACCCCCAAGCCGGCTTGCTAAGCGAGACGGATGCCTTACGCCCGCGCTTTCTGTGCTGTCTCGTCTCTGTTGCCATTTCTCTTCACAGCGCGGCGCGTCCCCTTAAACGATAACAACGTGGTTTTGTCGTCACTTAAGTTTGCCATTTCTTCTTCACTTCCAGCACCAAGCGCCAAGAAAGAGCGGTGGCATGCAGATTGGGCAGAGATACTGTTGCGACACGGATGGTCGGGTTGCAGACTTATCGTCGACGCCAAGGCGGTCATCTTGCGAGCGACGATTGTCCTACACGGTTGAAAGGGGTCACCAGGTGAATTTCTCGACGCGACAACGGACAAGTTGCCGTTCAAGTGCACAACACGGCGGCTACCACTGTGCGGCCATCAGCCAGCAGTGCCGAGCCAGCATCGAGTGTCGTCGCAGCGCTCAATGCGCGTATCGGCAGCCACGGGAGGCCACTGTACGAGGTTTGAACCGAAGTCGACGTTCGTCATGGAGGAGCTTGGCGCCAACGGGCAGCCGTCGACGAAGATGTGGACGCGTTGCACCATCCCAATAAGCCGATGACGCGAGTCGCAAGCGATGTATCGATTTGAGAGCGCTCGCATGGTGGTATCGAACGGGTTTAGTGCAGTGGATGCAGGAGAATAGGACCTTCTAGCGTCCTCTGGTTCACTTGTTGACGTTTCCTTCTCCACGGCTGTGGCGTGGCGTCCGACGATGATTGCTCGAGATCCGAGCTATAGCTACACCACTACTGGACGTCTTGATCGTAGCACTTCTGCATTCTTCGCTGTTTAGCCATAGCTTTATACGTATGGAAGTACGGGGCATTTCGAACACAACGGGGTGAACCATAATGACGTGGCAGATCCTAGGCAAATACAAGGGAGACGGCGAGACAACTGATGAGCGGATAAGACCACGTCCCAGAGGATGAGACCACGTCCCAGAGAAAGCCACAAAGCAGGGCTCGTACGAGGGTCTCGCCAGCGGGACCGAGCTTGGGGTTCAATGCGACGATTGCTTGATCGTATGCAGTCTCAGCAGACAATATTGCAATGCGTTGGTATGAGCAACTATGTGCGCTGGTCGCCAAGGGCCCTGTAGACAATATAGCTCTTTACGTGTGCTAGCACGATAATTGCTGGCTTCAATAGTCTTTTTACTAAACTTCTACTGCGATCTTGGTCCGTCGTCGCATCACCTCGCATTACGAACGTGGCTGAAACATCCGGATAGTGTCCGGAAAGCCAGCCCATATCCGTTTCCACCTCATCATGAGCAGCAGCAGCAAGAAGGTCCGTGAAGGGGACGACGCGCTGGCCAAGGCCGAGAAGCTATTGACGACGACCATGTTCCGCTGGTCGCCCGACTACATGTCGGCGTCTCCGTACCTGGAGAAGGCGGCCGAGGCCTTCCGCGCCGGCCAAGCGCTCGACCGTGCGGCCAAGACGTACGTGCGGCTCGCCGAGGTGCAGCACAAGAACGGCGCAGTCTTCCGCGCCGCCATGCACATGGAAACGGCCGCCAAGATCCATCTGCAGTACGCGCCCAAGCAGCCGCAGCCCGCGATGCAGTACTACCAGATGGGCAGCGCGTACTACAGCGAGATGGGCGAGCTCGGGAAGGCCGCCGAGATGCTCATGAAGGGCGCGGCCGCGCTCGAAGCCGTCAACGTGTCCGACGTCAAGCACATGTAGCCATCTCTCTCGTTCGACATACCGTGATGGCGCATACGAATCGTAGGTACTTGGAGGCGTGTGACCTCATGGAGACGCAGGACAAGCCTCACTTTGCCGTCGACGTCTTCCGCAAGACCGCCGCGTTTCTCGTCAAGCGCAAGGACTACGCCGATGCAGTTGTCAACTACGAGCGGCAAGTCGCCCTCTTCCGCGCCATGGGCCAGGTAGCGTTGCCCGTCCCTTTGCCTTCACTTATGTTCATCCTAGAAAGAAAACATGAACAAGAGCTTTGCCAGCATCATTGTGCTCAAGTGCGCAATGCAGGACGTCATTGCTGCCGACCAGGCGTACATGACGCACCTCCAGGACGACGGCTTTCTGAGCTCGGACGAGTGCGCGCTCAGCGAAGACCTCATCGGTGCGCTCAAGCGCAGTGACGACGCGCAGCTCCAAGTCGTACTCAAGAAGCCCCAGTGGCAGTACGTGGATACATGCATTGGCCGCCTCGTGCGCACGCTGAGCCTCTACGGCGGGGCCAAGCCGCCGAGCTCTGCAGCGCCAGTCTCTGCAGCCAAGAGCACGTCGTTTCCGCCGTCAACACAGCGGACGCAAGCGTCACTGCCGACAACCGCGTCGGCTGGAAGCAGCACGGCCTTTTCATTTGACGAACTCGAGTTTTCGAGCAGCCCCGTCGTCGACACGGCGGCCGCGATCGCGTCGCTGCAGATTGCGGCACCGACTGCAACGGCGGTGACTGCGCCAGTCACAACAACGGCGCCGGCACCGACGACATCGGTGCCTCCAAGCGCACCGACGCAGCACGTTGTGGAAGAAGACATGTTTGACTTGACATGAGCCCGACGACGCAGCTCGTACCGCATAAGGATCGAAGACTTTATACACTGGAGAGAGGAATCCACACTTGATGGTGTCAACACAACCGTGGTGGGTTGCACCAAGATGACGTTTTGGCCCATGTAAGCTTGTTGGTGTCTGCTTGGTGGTCGCAGACAGTACGAGATACCTTGTCGAGACTCCACATCCCGTGTATCGGAGGCATTTATGCAGCCGAGCACCGAGCAAGGCCTGTTGCTTCGGCTCAACACTTCTGTTTCTGGTACATGGCGGCGCTTGTCTAGCTCGAGCACTAGGCCCATTGACCCCTAGGACTCACGCGACCGGAGACGTGGGGCTCACCAAGTTGTTAGTTATTTTGCCCTTCAAA